TATGAATAAAGTATATTTTTTTAAATAAAAAAAAGTTGTCACTGACAGTCTTAAGTGAAACTGCAAACCAGGTTAACTGAATTCCAAATAATTTGGTAATGGCTTTGCCTGCTAAAACTAAGAAGGCAAAAATATTTGCAGTACTATCACAGCATTTGGGTTTAGTAGAAATATGAGAGACGAGGTACTCTAGATATTGAAACATTAGAGTTAGCTATTATTCATTATGCTTGAAACAACTTGAATTTAATAAGCTGGGGACAGAATTCCAAAGGGTAGAAAAAGATAAAGTAAAGGAGAGGATTTAAAAAAGCCAGGAAATGGAAATGAGAAAAGTAGAATTAGAATTGCAAAGGGAAAGTGAAGGGAGACAAGTGAGAGAGAGAGAGAAAGGGAGAAAAATGAATATCAGCTTAAAATGATGTATGTAAATAAAGTGCTAAAATAGACTCTGATAAGGAGAATAGGAGTCATAAGTTGAAGTCCAGTAAGGAAATTTTTAAGCTTGACCAGGCCCTGCCAAAATTTGAGGAAAATGATATGGAGGTATTATTTAAGAAAATAGCAAGATAAATCAATAAGTGAAATGGAGATTGCCAATGCAGAGTAAGCTGACAGGTAAAGCACAGGAAATTTATGCTTCAGCATGAGACAAGATTTCAAGGGATTGTAATGCTGTTAAATTAAAAATTATTATGGCTGCTTATGAGGCACAAATTTTGAACAGTTGGGCAAACTAACCTGGAATTTGAAAGAGTTAAGCAAAACAATTTTGACAGTGGAAATAAGCACACGATGCTAAAACGCTGTATGATATCCTTAAGAGCAGTTTGGGTATAAAACAACTAAAGTCAACTGTGTGTCATCTACAATCATGGGGAGCTTTGGCAATATACCACCAGACTCTTAAAATCATGATTAAGACATACTACTGTGAATACCTATGGGATTGGGACAAAGGTTTATATTTCTTATGTTTACTACCAGAGATGCCTAAATTAAGGTACTGGGTATAGTCTGTTTAATTAATTCACGGTCTAGACATTCAATGTTCATTAAATTTGATCAGGAAAAGGTTCTTAGGACAAAAAAAATCCTCAATGTCAGATATGTATCAATGTTTCTAGAAAAAACTCACTGTAGCATACAGGATAGCACATAAACATTGAACATTTCATAGGTTAAAATGAAAGAGTGAGACAAAGTTTCAACAAAATAGAATGTTTCTACTAGCAGATGACGAACTAGTATTGTTGCTTTCAGAGCTTCATTTGCAAAGGCAAAGTTCTGTGGTACATGATAGCTTGGAATGTTAGTAAAGCGACTTATTTGATAGAGATTCCTGATTGCAGGAAGAAAAACCGGTTAAGTCATAAGCCTGTTGAAACCGTATTATCAGAGGGAAGCAGGCCAGGAGGAGGAAATGTGTCAGTTGGTAGGACTGGTGGAGGATGACAGAGACAATAAAAGTGCGGTGAAAGGAAAGGTAGACTGTTCTTAAAATAAGCTTCCAAAAATTCAATTAGCCAAGCACAGAAAAACTGGGACAATTAGACGCTGTGCTCTTATATTTCGGAGGATCGTTAAAGACCAGAAATATAAGGTAATCTGTAGATATATACCTGGATGCACTATGTTAGTTACGCTTGATGTGGATATGCATGAGTCAGTACCAATAAAATCTTTAGGACCCAGAAAAAAACAAGCTCAGGTGGAAACAAAGATTCAATACATGCTGGGAGATCGCTTGACTGAACCTAGTCAAAGCAGCTTGAGTTAACTGTAGTGTTACTTCTGAAATGGATAGATCAACTAGATTTCGTTATACAATAGAAAGGTAAATGCAGTCACAAAAACAGGGTTAGAACACTGTATTAATATGATTGGAACTGCCCCATTCCTTTCTAAGATTGATCTATTGAAGGGGTACTGGCAAGTGCTATCAATATAAAACGCTAGGGATGTATCTGTATTTGTCACTTTAATTTGGTTATACCAATGTTGAGTTATTCCATTATGGTTAAAAAATGCTCCAGCTACAATCCAAAGATCAATGAATTAAATCATAGTTAAAGTCCACGGCTGTTTAGTTAGATAATGCCATAATATAAAGTAACAGATGGGAAAAACATGTGAGACAAGTGGAATAACAAGGTGTAGAGCTGGATGAACACAGCAGGCCAAGCAGCATCAGAGGAACAGGAAGGCTGACGTTTCGGACCTAGACACTTCTTCAGAAATGGGGGAGGGGAAGGGGGTTCTGAAATAAATACGGAGAGAGGGGGAGGCGGATAGAAGATGGATAGAGGAGAAGATAAGTGGAGAGGAGACAGACAGGTCAAAGAGGCGGAGATAGAGCCAGTAAAGGTGAGTGCAGGTGGGAAGGTAGGGAGGAGATAGGTCAGTCCAGGGAGGACGGACAGGTCAAGGGGGCGGGATGAGGTTAGTAGGTAGGAGATGGGGGTGAGGCTTGAGGTGGGAGGAGGGGATAGGTGGGAGGAAGGACAGGTTAGGGAGGCGGAGACGAGCTGGGCTGGTTTTGGGATGCGGTAGGGGGAGGGGAGATTTTGAAGCTTGTGAAGTCCACATTGATACTATTGGGCTGCAGGGTTCCCAAGCGGAATATGAGTTGCTGTTCCCCCAACACCTCATCTTTACCAAGGACGTCCAGTCCCTATACACCTGCATTCCCCATACAGATGGCCTAAAGGCCCTCCGCTTCTTCCTGTCCCGCAGGCCCGACCAGTCCCCCTCCACTGACACCCTCATCCGCTTAGCCGAATTCGTCCTCACCCTCAACAACTTCTCTTTCACTTCCTCCCACTTCCTACAGACAAAGGGGTTGACCATGGGTACCCGCGTGGGCCCAAGCTATGCCTGCCTCTTTGTAGGTTACGTGGAACAATCCCTCTTCCGTACCTACACTGGCCCTAAACCCCACCTCATCCTCCGTTACATTGATGACTGCATTGGCGCCGCCTCATGCTCCCACGAGGAGCTCGAACAGTTCATCCACTTCACCAACACCTTCCAACCCAGCCTTAAGTTCACCTTGACCATCTCTAATACCTCTCTCCTTACTGGACCTCTCTGTCTCCATCTCTGGCAACCACCTAGAAACCGATATCCGTTTCAAGCCCACCGACTCCCACAACTACCTAGAATACACCTCCTCCCACCCACCTTTCTGCAAAAATGCCATCCCCTATTCCCAATTCCTTTGCCTCCACCGCTTCTGCTCCCAGGATGAGGCATTCCACTCCGGTACATCTCAGATGTCCTCGTTTTTCAAGGACCGCAACATCCTCCCCTCAGTTGTTGAGAACGCCCTCGACCGTGTCTCCCGCATTTCCCGCAACTCATCCCTCACACCCCCTCCCCACAATAACAACCAAAACAGAATCCCCCTTGTCCTCACGTACCACCCCACCAACATCCGGATCCAACGCATCATCCTCCGACACTTCCGCCATCTGCAATCCGACCCCACAACCAAAGACATTTTTCCCTCCCCATCCTTATCTGCTTTCTTGAGCGACCACTCTCTCCGTGACTCCCTTGTCCACTCCACACTCCCCTCCAGCCCCACCTCACCCGGCACTTTTCCCTGCAACCGCAGGAAGTGCTACACCTGCCCCTACACCTCCCCCCTCACCCCCATCCCAGGCCCCAAGAAGACTTTCCACATCAAGCAGATGTTCACCTGCACGTCTGCTAATGTGGTATACTGCATCCGCTGTTCCCGTTGTGGCCTCCTGTACATCGGGGAAACCAAGCGGAGGCTTGGGGACCGCTTTGCAGAACACCTATGCTCGGTTCGCACTAAACAACTGCACCTCCCAGTTGCAAACCATTTCAACTCCCCCTTCCATTCCGCAGACGACATGTCCATCCTGGGCCTCCTGCAGTGCCATAACGATGCTACCTGAAGGTTGCAGGAACAGCAACTCATATTCCGCTTGGGAACCCTGCAGCCCAATGGTATCAATGTGGACTTCACAAGCTTCAAAATCTCCCCTCCCGCTAACGCATCCCAAAACCAGCCCAGCTCGTCCCCGCCTCCCTAACCTGTCCTTCCTCCCACCTATCCCCTCACCCCCATCTCCTACCTACTAACCTCATCCCGCCCCCTTGACCTGTCCGTCCTCCCTGGACTGACCTATTTCCTCCCTACCTTCCCACCTGCACTCACCTTTACTGGCTCTATCTCCGCCTCTTTGACCTGTCTGTCCCCTCTCCACTTATCTTCTCCTCTATCCATCTTCTATCCGCCTCCCCCTCTCTCCGTATTTATTTCAGAACCCCCTTCCCCTCCCCCATTTCTGAAGAAGTGTCTAGGTCCGAAACGCCAGCCTTCCTGCTCCTCTGATGCTGCTTGGCCTGCTGTGTTCATCCAGCTCTATACCTTGTTATCTCAGATTCTCCAGCATCTGCAGTTCCTACTATCTCTGAGACAAATGGAAGACCTGTTTGAGCAATTATAAATTTAGTAATAAATTTAGCTGAAAGTTAAGTTGCAAAAGCACGAATAAATTACATAGGACATCCTATAATTCAAGGATTGCTGTTACCAGTACAGCAAAAGTGAAGGCTCTAATAGAAATTCTGAAAGTTAAGTGAAAAATCATGATATTTTTAGGAATGTGTGGATTTTACTGAAAATATGTGTTGAATTTCAGTACATTAGTTGTAACTTTAACACATCTGTGAAGGAAATAAACAAAAGTACTATGGTCAGTGGAATGTCAAGGAAGCCTTTGAGTAGCTGAAGGCAATTGTAATAAATGATCCATTAACTTCCACCCCTGATTTTTCCAGACCTTTCAAAATGGCAATTGATGATAGTCAGTTGGGTGTAGGTGCAGTCTTGTTAAAAGGTGATGAGTTAGGAATACAGTGGGATACTTTTCTAAGAAACTTAAACTTATAGCAGAAGACGTACACTGACATAGAAAAAAAGAGACATTGTGATTGTTACTGGCTCTTTAATACTTTTCTCCCACCTGTTGCTGTAAGCTGTTGCTCTTAACCAATGATTAAGACACTTTGTATTTAGTGTACCAACTGCCCTGGTCTCTGAGAAGAACCTGGAGAAAAAGATGAAACAGCAAAGGGTCCTGACAAGTCAAAAGGAACATTTCAATGAAATCTCTGATCTGGTATTATTGAACTGTGTTTCCCAGTTTTTTTTCCCCTTGCACCCATAAAACCAATTTTTTTGCCGTCTGTATGTGTGGGGTTAGACTTCTAACTAGTAGAGCCATATGTTGATAGTTCATAGTTGTTTACATGTGATCACAGTGTACTTACTTGTAATAAATAGTACTTCTTGTTAAGTACAGGAACTTGCTTAGTGTAATTTGTTAACTTTATTCCAACAGACAGGTAAATCAGGGACTTTGCATGCTTCAATTAAATCATTAACTTTTGTGGTGACCATGGGAGTAATATTGCTTGGGAATTAGCACACCTTCCCGAGTAGGTTGCAATGAAAGGTCTTGATTAAATTGCTTACAAGTCAAGGCAATATCTGACTATAATGTTATTTAGTTTGCATTAATGCCCTGGGTTGTCTTTGCTACATAAAAGTTGTTTGCTTCAAGTCCTACCTCACTAGCACCACACTGCAAGGTGACTTCATCATTGACATTGTGGTACCTTAGCGCTGACATTGTAGTCACTAGCTTGATTCCAGTGGAAGTTGCTTCTTGTTTTTTGCTCCAATATCTTGCACCTAGCAGGAGCTTGCACATGCATGCACACTCTGAAGATCTAAAACAAAAAATCATTGCAATGCTTTCATGCCTGTTGGTCACTGCACTGCATCTCTGCTATAGGTCTCACCTTGTCAGGGACAGGGCAAAGATATTTTGATGTCAGTATATGACTGATGTACTTGACTTCAGATATCTTCAACAACAAGTTTTATTTGTTCAGCTTCGGGTTCAATTGGTAAAATCTCTCTATCTGTAACACAAGATTCTCACTTGGTCTGCAATGCCTGCTTCCATTATGTTTCCATATTCATGGAAGAGCAAATCAGCATTAATACATAGCTAGCATTCATACATTCATTCATTCTAACCTAGAATACACCTCCTCCCACCCACCTTCCTGCAAAAATGCCATCCCCTATTCCCAATTCCTTCGCCTCCACCGCATCTGCTCCCAGGATGAGGCATTCCACTCCCGTACATCTCAGATATCCTCGTTTTTCAAGGACCGCAACATCCCCCCCTCAGTGGTTGAGAATGCCCTCGATCGTGTCTCCCGCATTTCCCGCAACTCATCTCTCACACCCCGTCCCCGCAATAACAACCAAAACAGAATCCCCCTTGTCCTCACGTACCACCCCACCAACCTCCGGATCCAACGCATCATCCTCCAAAACTTCCACCGTCTGCAATCCGACCCCACCACCAAAGACATTTTTCCCTCCCCATCCTTATCTGCTTTCCAGAGGGACCACTCTCTCCATGACTCCCTTGTCCGGTCCACACTCCCCTCCAGCCCCACCACACCCGGCACTTTTCCCTGCAACCACAGGAAGTGCTACACCTGCCCCTACACCTCCCCCCTCACCCCCATCCCAGGCCCCAAGACAACTTTCCACATCAAGCAGATGTTCACCTGCACATCTGCTAATGTGGTATACTGTATCCGCTGTTCCCGTTGTGGCCTCCTGTACATCGGGGAAACCAAGCGGAGGCTTGGGGACCGCTTTGCAGAACACCTACGCTCGGTTCGTACTAAACAACTGCACCTCCCAGTCACGAACCATTTCAACTCCCCCTCCCATTCCGCAGATAACATGTCCATCCTGGGCCTCCTGCAGTGCCACAATGATGCCACCCGAAGGTTGCAGGAACAGCAACTCATATTCTGCTTGGGAACCCTGCAGCCCAATGGTATCAATGTGGACTTCACAAGCTTCAGTCTCCCCTCCCCCTACCGCATCCCAAAACCAGCCCAGCTCATCCCTGCCTCCCTAACCTGTCCTTCCTCCCACCTATCCCCTCCTCCCACGTCAAGCCCCACCCCCATCTCCTACCTGCTAACCTCATCCCGCCCCCTTGACCTGTCCGTCCTCCCTGGACTGACCTATCTCCTCCCTAACTCCCCAACTACACTCGCCTTTACTGGCTCCATCCCCAACCTCTTTGACCTGTCTGTCTCCTCTCCACCTATCTTCTCCTCTATCCATCTTCTATCTGCCTCCCCCTCTCTCCCTATTTATTTCAGAACCCCCTTCCCCTCCCCCATTTCTGAAGAAGGGTCTAGGCCCGAAAATATCAGCCTTCCTGCTCCTCTGATGCTGCTTGGCCTGCTGTGTTCATCCAGCTCTACACCTTGTTATCTCAGATTCTCCAGCATCTGCAGTTCCTACTATCTCTGAAACAATTTTAACCCCATTGCGAAGCCCATATCTGAAGAAGGGTCTAGGCCTGAAACGTCAGCCTTCCTGATCCTCTGATGCTGCTTGGCCTGCTGTGTTCATCCAGGTCTACACCTTGTTATCTCTCTTCATACATAGCTACATGGTAGACAAGACAAGCTACGTAGCTTCCACTTTGGAATATTGCTCATTATTGCATGCTATCTGTATTGTTATACTTCCAGCAGAGAGAAAAAGCCAAACGGCAAGCATCTGTATTTTTGAAATGATGTTGAGAATTTAGCTCCAAAACTGTTGCTTTCAACAAGCCTCATCTACCAATAGCCGTCTTTCACACAGAGACTGATAAAAATGGTAAAAGAGAGCACCTGGAATTCTCTTTGACGAATGCTGTGTTGACTTCACTCTCTCATTTACCTTGAGATGATATTTATCAGGAAGGTGTCTAAGACTGGTAAAAGCATCTTAGCAATCTTATAGGATCTGTTTGCCAGTCAATGGCTTAGCAGGCTGTGAAACACTACAAACATCTTCTGGCATGTTAAGGGTTGTTAATCTAAGCTTTTGATTTGCCTCAACAGAGATGAATGGATACGGTCACAGTGTGAGGATTCAGAGTAGACCATTTAGGATGGAGAGGAGGAAACATTTCTTCACCCAAAGAGTGGAGAACCTGTGGAATTCATTACCACAGGAAGTAGTTGATGCCAAAACATTGAATGTATTCAAGAGGAGGCTAGATATAGCACTTGGGGCGAATGGATCAAAGGTTATGGGGAGAAAGTGGCATTAGGCTATTGAGTTGGATGATCAGCCGTGATTGTGAAGAATGGCAGAACAGGCTCGAAGGGCTGAATGGCTTCCTCCTGCTCCTATCTTCTATGTTTCTGTGTTTATTTTGCTTATTGTCTACTATCTCTCAGCCTTATTTGTCCTATTGGTATGAATATTGCTCCATTGTACAGCCTCAAACTTACATTTGAGGGATTCATTGTTGGATCACCATCCTGAGCCACTTCACACATGACGGTGCACAGAGCACCAGTGTCTATCTGATACCTCACATTCACCTAATGCTCTCCTTCCACACACATCAGTCTAACAATCGCAAACCATTTATTAACTTTAAACCTGATAACACCAGCTGCTGTATACACTAAAGTGATTTGTCTTAATCTTTGGCTGGTGTCTCTGTATTGGCCATCTTTATAGACTCATCTTGCTGTTTTTAACTAAACAAGTGTGAAGTGATTCAGCTTCTTGCAGTTACAGCACTGATTTCCACATGTTGGATATGATTCCTTTTCTTTTGTGTGATGTCCTTGATAATACTTATATCCTGTCCTCTGATCTGAATCTTTCTGCTGGAACTTTTACAAATATTTCTTAATTGCAAAACTGGTGTTTTCATTTATCCTGGAATATTTCTTGGCATTATGCTCATCTGATCTCCCATTCATACACCTTAGTTGATGATAGACAATTTCAGAGTTTCTGCACAGGTCTTTCTTGAGAATAATTTTCTCCCCTCTCACCCTGAAGAAGGGTCCAGACCCGAAACATCAGCTTTCCTGCTCCTCTGATGCTGCTTGGCCTGCTGTGTTCATCCAGCTCTACACCTTGTTATCGCAAATTCTCCAGTATCGGCAGTTCCTACTATCTCTCACAGGAGGGTTTTTTTTTGGCCAAAGAATCTTTTCTGTGATTAGATCATTGTTCTACTGTCTAAACTCTCAGAATCCAGCTAGATGCATCAGAATGGTCACATACTGATCAATATGTGATCCCTCTCACTGTTTGAGCTGTTTTCAAAACCTACAAAATCCCTCTTTTTTGCTCCTTAGTGAGATTGTGGTTGCAACACAGCCTATAACACTCCTTCTCCAGCATTGACAGCAGGACCGCAACCTTAATATGCTCAGTTTTTAGTTTAAAATGAATAATATTGTTCTTCATAGCTTTGTCACAAAGAATAGAAATAATACCAATTCTGCCTCATAATTCTTTTCATTTTCACAGCAGCAAATACACAGTCATTTTGACTCACTCGGTAACTCAAAATTTCTTCCTGAGGAAGGGTCACTCGACCTGATACATTAACTTTGATTTTCCTCCACAGATGCAGCCAGACCTGCTGAGCTTTTCCAGCAATTTCTGTTTTTGAACAAATGATTGTACCTTGCACTGATCAGGATAAATTCATACCAACTTCAAATGATCATAACAACTTATTCTTCAGGAGAAAAATGTGCTGATTGGTTGGCAAGTCAGTTCTGATTGGCTGAGATGGTGCAATTGAGAAAGCAATGATGAACTTAAAGTGGACTGTTGCGACGTTAGTTAAAGTACTTGTGGATTAATAGGCAGGATGTTATAATTTGGTGTTTGTAAAATATTGATGTTTATAAAATGATAGGAGCAAAAGCAATGTGTGGTCCCTTTAGAAGATTATGTGCTTTTTTCTAAGCTTGGCGATTAAAGAAAAAATGTCTATGGGCAGCTTGTGAGTTTGCAGGTGCACAGAGCACCTGAATTGTAACATTTGTATTAAAACGCTGGATGGTTAGCAGGCCAAGCTGCAGTTTTGTTTTGTTATCAAGACAACAAGTTTTGATTTAGTTAATTAATTTGAACCAGGCGCCTAGATACTAAAAACCAATTAAATTTAAATCTGATGGTTTTGACAACATA